TTGGCAAGAAAATTCAAAGTCATGAAAAGCAGGAACATACAGCCAAGATTGCTCTACCCAGCAAAGATATTATTTAGAATTGAAAGGTAGTTTAAAGAGCTTCCCAGACAAGAATAAGCTGAAGGAGTTCATCATCAACAAACCATTATTATATGAAATGTTAAAGGGACATATTTAAGAAAAATAAAATCAAAACTATGGACCATAAAATTGCAAAAAAATATGTATCTATCAAAATTGAGTCCACCACCACCACCCAGGCCCCCACTTGCTGACTAGCTGGCCTATCCTCAGATGCTTCCATGCGCACTCGAGGCCAGGGGTTTTTCCACTGGTGTGCCACAAAAAAAATTTTAAAACTGCAATACCAGACTATTTAGTCAGGGGCACTGACATCTTTTTCCTTAGATTGTTAAATAAAAAAATAATAACCAACACAACAATAGGCATCCAATGCGAATGAATCAAAATTATACAATTTTTGTCAGATCCGCAAAAATATTTTTTTTGGTGCACTGCGGAATTTTAATAATTAGTTCATGTGTGCCATGAAAGGAAAAAGGTTGAAAATCGCTGCCATTGGCCATCCCATTCAATTCCCGGACTTCAAATATGGATCTTGGGCCAGTGGCCCCTCGCCATCTACGTGGCCTGTTGGACATTTCTACCTGGACAACTGAGAGATAAGCTTCACACAGCCAGAGCAGAACTTCTCATTATTCCCTCCAAATCCACCCATCGAAAAGTCTTCCCTACCTCAGTCAATATCACCACTGCCTATCCATTTATTAAGGTCAAATTAATGTCCTTTACTTTTATGTTAAAGTAATTTCAAATTAAGAAAAAATTTACAAGACTAATACAAAGAGCCCCTATTTACCTTAACCAGACTCTCCAGTGTTTAAAATTTAACCAGTGTTAAATTTTACCACACATATGTGGCATGTGCCTTCTCAAAGTTTTACTGTGTGTACATATTACCATTTTCTTAAGTCATTTGCAGTAAATTGCAGGCACAATACCCTTATCACCCTCTTAATACTTTAGTGTGTGTTTCCTTACAAGAAGGACGATCTCATACTTAATCCAGTACAACCATCAAAATCAGAAAGCTAATAGTGGCACAGTATCATCATCACAGACCCCAATCACATTTCATAGATTGCCCTGAACAATGTCCTTTACAGGTCTGGATCCCAAAGCCACGGGGGCGCCTGCATGATGTAGGTGTTTGGTGATGCAATGCGGGCACATGTAGTGTGGACTTTTTTTCTCTCTTTTTGTTTTTTCATTTTACCTTGAAAACCATGTGATGAGACAGTTCAAAAGGAAATAGAGAAGACTATTTCCTTTTGAAAGGAAGATTGTTTCCTGCTGAAAGAGAAGACTCCTGGGTCGGAAAGCATGCCGAGTTACTCAGGAAGAACGGAGCCATGGGCCTGAGTCTGCAGGAGCTGAGCAGGGCAGTTGAGGACGTGACACCATGAGCATCACCGATCCACAGGGTCTCCCGGAGTCAGAGCCGACTCAACAGCACGTAACCCACATCTGAACCAGGATCGTGTGTTGCAGTTAGATCAATGTATCTCTTTCTCTTCCTTTGATCCGGAGCAGCTCTTCCATCTCTCCTCGTCTTCCGTGACCTTGGCATGGGAAAGAGCGCAGGCCAGCTACTGTGCAGAAAGTCAGTTTGGGTCTGCCTGATGTTTGCCTGTGACTGATGCTTTTCCAACAGGAGCAGCAGACAAAGTGTTGTTATGCTCTGCTCAGTGCACTATATTGTGAAGCTCGTGATGTGGATTTGTCCCATTAGTCGCTACGTTAACTTTCATCACCTGTCTGCCAGATTTCTCCACTCTCAGATTAACTAATAATGAAATTTATTAATTAATATCAAGTAATTAGTAAGCAGACTTCCGCCAAGATGGAGGTATAGGTGGAAACACCTTGTGTCCGCGCACAACCAAATCTAAAAACAACAAAGTTTTAACAACAATAAACGCAACCAAACTACACAGAAAATCGACAATATGGAGTCTGAAAACAACAAAATGCTCAACTAAACTGGTAAGAGGGGCGAAGCCAGCAGTGGAGTTGGTTGGCCAAAAAGACCCTGACCAGGGTGGTGCACAGGCAGCGGAAGGCATGGATCCCAGGTGCGGGCTAGCTACGGGTGACGGGTGACGCAGGGAAGAGGCGCGGCTGGCTGTCTGCGGTCAGTTGAGCATTTGCATGCAGATAAACCAGTGAAGAGGCGAGCATTGAGACCCCACGGCTCAGGGCAGCAGGCTCCCACATTTCTGCTCAGATAAACAGGCAGGGGCAAGTTGTGGGATGGACTGGGCGAGCAGAGAGGACCGCCATTGCTCCCTCTCTGACCCCACCCCCCACATACAGCATCACAAACCAGCGACCTGGGTGGCCCCACCCTGGTAAACAACTAAGGCTCCGCTCCTCATACATAACAGGAACAAACATAAAAACATGGCTCAAGAACAACTCAGAGCCCCAGAGCTGATAAATCTAAGCAATGAAGAAATAGCCAAACTTTCAGATGCACAGTTCAAAACACTGGTGATCAGGATGCTCACAGAACTGGTTGATTTTAGTCACAAATTAGAGGAACACATGAAGGCTAAACTAATTGAAATAAATAGTAATGCACAGGAAACCAATAGTAATGGAAAGGAAACTGGGACTCAAATCAATGGAGTAGACCAGAAGGAAGGAAAAAATGACCAAACAGAAAAGGATGAAGAAACAAGAATTCAAACAAATGAAGAGAGGCTTAGGAACCTCCAGGACATCTTTAAACATTCCAACATTCGAATTATAGGAGTACCAGAAGGGGAAGAGGAACAGTCATGAGTGAAAACCTTATTTGAACAAATAATAAAAGAGAACTTCTCCAATCTGGCAAAGGAAATAGACTTTCAGGAAATCCAGGAAGCTCAGAGAGTCCCAAAGAAGTTGGACCCAAGAAGGAACACACCAAGGCACATCATCATTACATTAGCCAAGATTAAAATAAAGGAGAGAATTCTAGAAGCAGCAAGAGATAAGGGGACAGTCACCTACAAAGGAGTTCCCATCAGACTGTCAGCGGATTTCTCAAAAGAGACCTTACAGGCAAGAAGGGGCTGGAAAGAAGTATTCCAAGTCATGAAATCCAAAGACCTACAACCAAGATTGCTCTATCCAGCTAAGCTTTCATTTAGAATGGAAGGACAGATAAAGTGCTTCTCAGATAAGACCAATTCAAGGAGTTCATCATCACCAAGCCCTTATTATATGAAATGTTAAAGGGACTTACCTAAGAAAAAGAAGATAAAAAAGATGAACAGTGAAAGGACCACACCTAAAGCAAAAGCAAAAGCAAATTAAGAGGACAGCTAGATCAGGAGTAAACCATAGAAATGAAGATCACATGGAGGGTTAGCAACAGGGGAGTGGGAGAAGGAGAAGGGGGGGGAGAAGGTACAGAAAATAAGTAACATAGACAGTAGATAAAAATAGATAGGGGGAGGGTAAGAATAGTAGGGGAAATACAGAATCTAAAGAATTTGAGACACATGTTCATGAACTAAAGGGGGGAATGGTGGGGGAGGGGTGTGCAGGGTGGAGGGGAATGAGGGGAGAATAGAACAAATGTAATGGCATAATCAATAAAAAGAAAAAAATAAAATCTGCCAAATACCTTTAAAAAAAGTAATTAGTAAGCATATTGGGGAGATATACTTTGCAACTATGTCTGCATTTATTAGTTGGCATTCTCTTGTAACATTTTCCTTTATCTCTTATTTATTTATTAATTTATTATTTACATTTATATGGATTCTAATTCACCCAATGGGTTATGCGTTATTGTCATTAACTATTTTGATACTCAAATTGTCCCAGACTTCCACCAATGGGAGTCCCTTTGAATTTTTATTTTATTTTATTTTATTTTATTTTATTTTATTTTATTTTATTTTATTTTATTTCATTTTATTTTATTTTATTTTATTTTATTTTATTTTATTTTATTTTATTTTATTTTATTGATACCTCACTGACACACCATGGCTCTCTGTGGTGGCCAGGACCTGTTTCCCCTCCTCCAGTAACAGACTCTCCCAGATTCTCACGTCCATTCTCAACTACCTGACTAGGCGAACGGCCCACCTCTGCCCCGGAAGTGCTCCTGGACTGGTCTCATGCTCCTCAGCACCTCCCACGCCCCTGGGTACAGTGACCGTTCAGGTGGGCCTCTAACCACTCAGGCTGATGAGGCCTGAGGGGAAGCCTGATGGGGCTTCTGAGAAAGAAGCTTCTTTTTCTCTTCCAAAGTAGCTCCAGGAAAAGAAGCTACAGACGACATACTGTCTCAGTGTAAAGTTTTGACCCGATGCAGCCATTTCCACCAGCAAGCAGGAAGGTCAACTGTACTATGTGGAGGTGGGAAGAAATGAGAGGATGGCAGAGAAGAGAAACAAGACTGGAGGTCTGGGGACACCACAGATTTCTGGATCATTCTGTGCCTGAAGCCATCTATGGACTGGTTAATTATTTGAGTCAATAAGTTACCTTTTTTATGTAAGCCAGTGTGAACTAAGACTTCAGTTGCTTGAAATGAAATCCTAAATAATACCCTCACCCAAACAGGAAAAGAAGGCTGGCTGCCGAGAGAAGCAAAAGGATGATGGGCTTCTGTTCTTGTGACCAAAAGAACTCTTCCTGTGACCTGCTTCTCTCCCCAGCCATTCAGAAATCTCCGGGGGGTCTACGTGCTGTGGACCCGTCCTCTATAGTGACACGTGGCTCTAGCGTGTGCTCAACCAGTATTTCATGACTCCAAGTGTAAGAGCTGCTAGGGTGGCCTCATTCACCACTAACTAAATTCCTGGCTTGTAAAACAGAGTGGGGGCCATAAAGCAACTTTACCAAACAAATGCATGTCACCCAAGCATGGCCCCAAGCCCCTCCCCTCAAATCCACCAAAGGAAAAGAAACAGCACTAAAACCTTGCACAATAGTTTATTTTCCAAGAGGGGGAAGGCAATGGAAGAGGGAGGTGAGAGAACCTGGAGACTGGCTGTGGATTTAGGAAGGAAGGAGCAGCAGCCAGTGCTGGAGTTCTTGTGCTTTCTCCCCAGGGTGCAGCCAGAGGCCCCAGAGGCTCACAGGAGCCCTAGAATGGAGAGAAGAGCCAGCTGTAGGATGTGTGAGGTCTCTGGGGACACAGGGACTCTGGCGTGTTCCTCGTTCCCTGCTGAACACATCAGAGTCACATCTCAGAAGCCAGTCAGCAGCCTGTTCGGGCAGTGGGACTTTGAAGGTAAAAGCCACAGGCTATAATGAAAGGAAATGATGGGGACCTCACACTAAGGGGTCTGCCAGTATCAAGTCCGGAAGCATCAGTGAGGGCTGGAGAAGCTGCCAGAGCCCATCGTGAGGCCCTTCCGGACCCGTCCCCAGCAGCCGTGGCCTGTTCTATCTACGTAGAGCCTGGGAAGTGCTGGGGAAAGAGGCTGGTGGAGCCCTCCCTGCCCAGAAGGATTCTTAAGTCCAGCCCTCAGGCCCTCAGGGTCATGGGGATGGATGTAGCCTTGGTGCCCTCTGTGCTAGGCTGGGGATGGGAGTTTGATCAGGGCTCTGATGGCTCTTGAATATCTCAGTCCAAGAGCATTTCCTTGGTGCCAAGCTCTTTATACATGATGACCTCATTCACCCTCATTCCAACCTCAGAAACGAATTATTATCCCCTTTCCACAGATGAACTCAGAGAGGTTAGTTTACTTGCCCAGGGTCACACATCTGAGGAGAGGTGGAAATGTGATTTCACTCCAGGATGGCCTGTGGTAGAAAAAAAAAAAAAAGTCTTATGAATATTTCTCAAAGCTCTTAATGAGCGTTCCTCAAACATTTCTAGCTAAAGCCTACCCGCCCGGCTTCTCCACATTTTCCCATATCGGAAGTGAGGCAAGTAATGTGTCATAACAAGGAAGCATGGAGGGACACGTATGAGCTGCTTATGAAGTTTTCTATGTATTTCTGTGTTTTTAAACCCTGTCACACATATGCGGGGAGGCTGTCTGGGCCCTCCAGGAATGAGTCCCTGCTGTCACCTCTGCGCTCACCTGCTCGAGATTTGCATATAAAGATGTCCACACAAACTGCATGGGGATCTTTGCCAGCAATGACATCTCGGGAAATGCGTCCAAAAAATTTTCTCATGGTCTTCTCGCAGACGCCTCTCAGGAGCTTCATCTTGTTGCACACCCGGGACACAGCCTGGGCAATGGTGTCCTGCAGTGGCAGCATCATGGCAGGACACAGGAATCCAGTGAGCCCTAGCCAGCTCCACCCCCCTACAGGCCCCAACAGCTCCGGAGATGGGGGTGCTGTGTGCAGGATGCTGGTGCCAGGCGGCCATGGGAGGGAAGGCTAGAGAGACAGGGTCCAGCCCCCGCTCCCAGTCCCCAAGGCCCTGGCCAGAGCCTTGCCAGTAGGAGCTCTTGAGAGAAGGATGTTTGGCCCTGCCAGAGTCTCAGCTCCCTGTCCAACTGCCCCTGTCCTCTGTGTGGAGAATGTTGCCCACGGCTGCCAGATCCACATTAAAGGCTCTGCCTGTGCACCTCCCTGGCTGGTTTTGTACCTACAGGAGGTGTGTGGAGAAGGTTAGGAGGGCATCAGAGCTTGGAGCCTTGGCACGTTTGATGTTAAACTATTTTCTACTGCCATCGCAGTGGAAAAAGATAAATACGAGGACCCAGGTCTGCAGGCAGGCTTTGCAGTGCAAAGATGCTAAGTGGGTGGGGGCGTAAAAGAGAGGGAGGGAGAGTGACACAATGGTTCTTGGTCAGGACACATTCGCTTGTGAAGCATTTATTCAGTGCCCGAAGTAGAGTGGAGCACATCCCACCTTTCGCTCCTTTAAAAGGTTGAGGCAACTTGCCAGGTGGGAGTTACCGTCCATCCCATCCCACAGCTGAGAAAACTGAGGCTCAGAAGACATTAATGACTTGTCAGGCCATTCAGCCAGTTGCAGTACTGATTCAGGCCCCCGGAGCAGCCTCTCAAAACTCTGCCCTGAGAATTGCATGGAAACCATGCAAACTCTTCCTCCCACGAGCACACTCCCAGAGCGCCGTGATTTCCCAGGTTCCCCTGAACTGAAGTCCATCCTGGGCTACATAAGGGGGCCCACAGATCCTCTGCTGAGAAGCTCTGGACCAATGGGCATTGGCCCTCACCCAGTGCCCTTCTTATCCAGTGTCCACCTCTGGGGAGGCCTGCTGGGCACCCAGGCCTCCCACTCCACTGACCAGCAGGCCAAAGGCTCCCCAAGCCTCACCTCATTAGGCTGGTCTCCCACAATTTTCTGCAGATGCTTGATGATCTTCTGGCAGAGACAACAAGTAAGGAGGCCCTGTTCCTTTCTTGTGGTCGACAGTTTATCCTGTCAGGAAAGATGGTCTCTCAGGCACTCCAAAGCCAGCAGAATCATCTATGATCTTTCTGTCCTTAAGGGCCTGAACCAAGCTGGCTGGCCCCTGCCCACCCATGCGCTAGTCTTATGAGACCCCGGAACTGGCTGGGCACCCACAGCACCTCTCCCAGGCCAGCACAGACTCCTGTTCTGCCAGACCCCAGAGGACCCTCTTGGGGAGGGCCCAGCCAGACTAATGTAGCACCCTGCCCATCAGGCATGGGTGCGTGAGCAAAAGCAGAGTCTTCAGCTCACTGCCCCTCCAGCCCCTCGCCTGTTCATTAGAGACCTCCAGCCCTTGCCTCGCCACTGTCCAGGGAGGAGAGAAAGGATAGAGTCTGTGGGAGATGAGCAGGAACCCGAGTACCTGGGGGTCCTCCTGGGCCAGGCCCCGGCCGAGCTGCTCTCCATCACCCAAGTTGGCTATGGCCAGGACAGAGCGCTCAGGGGTCAGACTAGAAAAGGCCAGATCTGGGGAAGAAACAACATCAGGATTTCTCCACAGGTGGAACTAGAGGGGAAGGTCCATTCTTCTGGCTGGTGGGGAGCCCAGGAGGTGCCCAGGGCCCCGGGCCCAGGACAGGACAGGAGTGGGGCTTTGTGAGGAGTCTGGGAGGCCCTCTCCCACGCTGCCCTGGGGCTGCGCTGACCCACTCTCAGCAAAAACAACAAAACAAACGAACAAAAAGACATGCTCTCAAGTTCCTTCTAAAAAGCCAGAAGACTGTTCCCCTCTCCCCTACTCACATACCTCCCCACACCCCTTGCTCTCTCTCTCTCTCACACACTCTCACACACACACACACACACACACACACACACACAGATTTGGGGGTTGACCTAAAAGGAAACTCCTCATCTCTTTTCAAGAGATTGTGTCTTTTTTTCTCTTTCCTTCCAAAAACTGTCCCCACCCATTCTCCCTTCCTACAGTGTCCTTCCCCTCAGCTGAGCGCTTGGAGCCCACCATGACTCCAGGGCCTGGGAGGGGGCGCGTGGGTGGAGCAGGGACAGGTCTCCGCTCACTGCCAAGCTTTGTCACAACCCTAGCCAGTGTGGGCCAGAAGCAACACCAGACCCTCTGACGAGGGCCAATGACCTCCGTAACACAGATGAAGAGGCAGAGCCCCGGGAGGAAAAGGGGAGACACAGGCTACACCAATGACCAGCAGAGTTGGGGCTGGAGCCCCATCCAGGGCTCAGGTCCTCCCACTGGCTGTCTCTCCCCATCGTCCAGGTCACTGGCAGGCTGTAGCTGCACCAGGTGCAGCAGGAAAGGCCTCCATGATGAGAAAGCTGCTAAGGGACTGGGGGAGTTGTCAGGATCTTCACTGAGGAGACTGTCCTTACCTGGGGAGCCCAGGAGCGCCAAGGCAAGGAGCAGGAGAGCCCAGGAGGCCATGGTGGGGCAGCTGCCAACATGTCCCCCACACCCTATTTATAATGGGGGCTGAGAAGCCAGTCATGTGGCATTGCCACATCCTTCTTTTCTGGTAGGCCACCTCCCCATGTCATAGGGTGTACCACAAACACCACCACCATGTGGGGGGATGGGGGGAGGGAAAAGTGGCACCTCAGAGGTTCTACGCTCCCTATTGCTCCCCCTTCCCTACACACACACACACACACACACACACAGACTACAGCTTTCTGGGCTGAGTGGGTGGGGGACTAGAACTCAGTTTTGCCTCCTTTGGGGTCCTTCTCTTCTGGCCGCTGAGATGGCAGATGCACCCAGCCAAGGTCAGTTGAACCCTCCCTTCAGCATCTCCCATCCCAGGCCCCTTCAGCGTCATTGCTAATATTCGATCCCATGCACCTTGCCAGGAGTCCCCTCATGGCTGAGCCCTTAACTTCAACACCGCCTTCTTGTCTAAAAGATTTCATCTTTCCTGAGCCCATTTGGGGCCCTGCTTTACACTAGCTTCTGTGAGCAGGAAAGAGGATGGAGTCCCAAGGCAGGCAGGCCTTTTTAAAGCTGGGACACCTTGAGCGAGAAGCTCCATCTCTTGAGTCTCCAGTCCCCTTGCCTGTAAAATGAACTCAGCGTTGCCTGCCCACAGAGTTCCACAGCGGCGGCGTCTTTGTGTGTGTGAGGAAGCTTTGCAGCCTGCCACGTGCTAGGCAGATGTAGGCTGTTTTCAGGGCTCACCATGTCCCACGGCAGCGTCTATGAACCCTGGTTCTGAGGGAGGTGAAAAGGTGCTGTGGGGGAGTGGAAGGGGGTCCCTGTCCTCAGGTGGAAATGCTGGTCCAGCAAGGTTCACCAGGTTGACTTCCACAGGACTTCTCAACACCTTTAACTTGCCGGTGTGTGTTGCGGACCCTCAAATCCAAGTTCTCAGCCTTTCCCAAATGTCTTTAGCCACAAAACATTTTGGTAAAGGAGTTCCTTTAAAGATTGAGTGACAATAGCTGATCTGGCCACCTTCTTAGGCTCATGTGACCAGGAGGGTTACTGGCCCAGCAGTCGCTGGAGCCGGAGCAGCAGTCAGGCCCCTCCCTAGAGTAAAACTGGGGGTCCTCATTCTCACCTCCGCTCCAGCTCAGATGAAGGCAGAGCCACGAGCTGGAGAAGCAGGCTTGCTGTGCCCCAGCATGGAACCAAGAATGAGGGGCCCCCCTGAATCCTTTCTGGCTGTTTGCCCCAACCCCAGGGAGGCAGACGCACTTACACACTCACCCTGCACAGTCACACTCACTCACATCACTTCCTTATACATAGTCACAGGAACTCTGAGTCACACATTCTCCAAAGCACCCCCAAATTCACACACACTCACCCAGACACACACACACTCCCAAACATCAACACACTTACATAGATACACATACTTACAGTCACACTCAAACACTTCGAACCCATCCACGCACAAACACGCCACCTTTATTTCTGCCCAGTGCGGAAGCCACTGAATACCAAACTAAGGAGCATTGAATTGAAGCATTTTAAGCACTTTTCATCTCTTATTTTTATTGTTTATTGAAAAAACATTTAATCAGATAAGTAAGAAAAAATAAATGAAATGACTTATAAGCTCACCAGATAGATATAAATAAGTCTGTTAAATGTTTACAGGAATATCCATTTATACTTTTAAATACATATATTTATAAATAAGCACATGGTTATGTATAACTGCAAATGATAAAAATTATTTTTAAATAGCTTTTTAAGTTTAACAAAATATCAGCCCTGGCTGGTGTAGCTCAGTGGATTGAGCGCGGGCCTGCGAACCAGAGGATTGCGGTTTGATTCCCAGTCAGGGCACATGCCTGGGTTTCGGGCCAGTTCCCAGCAGGGGATGCACAAAAGGCAACCACACATTGATGTTTCTCTCCCTCTCTCCTTCCCTACCCCTCTAAAGATAAATAAATAAAATATTTTATATTTATATATATATACATGCATACATATATACATATATGTGTGTGTGTGTATATATACATCAGGAACATCTTTTCATGTCCATAAATCGAGATTCTCTCCATCGTTCCCCCTGGTGGCCTGATGTTGTACTTTAGGGATGAACTACGCCTGCAGTCCGGTGACTCTGGGACTCCAGCCGTCCCTTCCATGCTTCCACTTGCAGAGACAGGTTGGGAGCCCTCTGACGGCTCGTGCAATAGTCTAGGTGAGTGACAGAAACACCTTCTTCAGACTGCATGCCTTGTCATCTCAAGAAGCCTGCTGAGGGTCCTCCACACTTCAGGGCCTCGTCCCAAGTAGAAAAACAGAGTGAAGTAGGAAGGGGCGGTATCAGTATAAGAAAAGTCCATCTTGCCCAGGAACTTCAGTTTACCTATCACTGGTCTGCCTCAGGAGCTTCCCAGCTGCACAGGGCTATTAGCAAAGAAATCCTTTCACTGGACTTTGGTGCCACATTGAATAAAATTGGAATTCTGCCAGGAAGAATGACAAGGAACAGGAGTCAGGTCAACAATGGCTACAGCAGAACTTCTTGCTAAAAGGAAGAATTGCTAGGACTTTGTAGCTACTTGGATGCAGGAAATAGAAGAGAGAAGCAAGCAGTTTGACAATATTTGGGGTCTGGGAGGCTGAGGCGCTGGTAGTGAAGCAGGGAAGTTAGGAAAAGGAGCTTGTTTGTGGAAAGCTGAGTTGCAGCTTTGTATAATTGCATACGATAAAAAACATTGCTTGAGGGCAGGGCTGTCTCTGCTGTCAGCACCTCCCCACTTAAAATAGCCCTCGGAACACATGGTCAATTGATGTCAAACTCAGAGAGGTCTAGTGAACTGCCAAGGACACACAGCTCGAAAAAAGGAAAGGTCTGAGGATTTGAACCCAGGCCCATCAGACTCCGGACCCCCAAGTGCTTCCCCAACCCCACACTAGGTTCCTACTTCTAGGTTTCCAGCACGGAGCTGCTACCCTATGTGCCTCTGTAATGCCTGCCTCCTGTCAACAGGCCTCCTCTGCTCTGAACATCTGTGGCAACCTTGGTCTGATGTGAAAAAACCACATTAACTAAGTGGAAAAGGCCCCGGAAGGTGACTCATGTCTTTCTCTGTTGTGGGGTATTTGGTAAGACCAGATATTTCATTAAGTCCTTGCCTGGGGTGTGGAGGGGTACAGGATACAGACCTCGTTGTTAGTCACGAAGCTCCACCCAGGCCTCGGGGGTCCCATGTGAAGAGCACCTTGGCAGGACCTGCTGTCTTCCCAGTCATGGGCTCCATGGACTGGACATGGCAAGTCAAGCCCGGGACCCCAGGAACCCCTGTGTGAAAGTTACTGCTTTTTGTGTCTTCTTCAAGGACTCTTTGCTTTCTCCAAGGTCATGAAGATATCCTCTTGTTTTCTTCTCAGGGTTTTATAGTTTTAATTTTTACATTCAGGTCTATGATTCATCTCAAGTAAACAGGGCTGAAGTTCCATTGTTTCAGGTCAATTTGTGAAAATATATTCCTTTTCCTATTGAATTGCTTTGGCGCCTTGGTCAGAAATCAACTGACTGTATAAGTGTAGATTTATTTGTGAGCTCTTTATTGTAGCAACTATTGCTTCAATAATAATAACAGCAATACAATTTTAAAATGAGCACAGCATTTGAAGAGTTACTTCAAAAAGGAAGATAAAAATTACCAATAAACACTTGAAAAACACTAAGCCATGAGGTAATTGTATATTAAAACTATGAGATAATGGCATCAAAATGACTATAATTAAAAAGACAAGTCCTGGCTAGTGTGGCTCAGTGGACTGAGTGCCGGCCTGAACCAAAGGGTCATGGGTTCAATTCCCAGTCAGGGCACATGCCTGGGTTGTAGGCCAGGTCCTCAGTTGGATGTACACAAAAGGCAACCACACAGCGATGTTTCTCTCCCTCTCTTCAGCCCTCTCTTTCCATGAAGAAAGAAAGAAAGAAAGAAAGAAAGAAAGAAAGAAAGAAAGAAAGAAAGATTTGTTAAAAAGACAAAACCTCACGTGCAAAATCTAAAAAATAAAGCTCATGGAAACAAAAAACAGGTAATTATGGGGGTGGGTGATACATGGAAGTGGTCAGAAGATGCAAAACTTCCAGTTATTAATAAATAAACCCTAGGGATGTAATGTACAGCATGGTGACTATAGTTAATAATACTGTACTGTATATTTGAAAATTGCTAAGAGAGCAAATCATAGGAAAAAGTACATAACTACGCATGTTGATAAATGTTAACTAGACTTACTGTGGCCACCATGTCACAATATGCACAAGTTTCAAATCACTGTTGTACACCTGAAACTGACATCATGTTAGGCCAATCAAATCTCAATTTAAAAATAAATAATACCTATTGTGCACGGTGGTTGTGAGATGTTAAAAATCATACTGAACACTTGGCACATGGAGGGGAAAAAAGACAAACCCCATGAAATGTTGGTGAGGATGTAGAGCAACTAGTGTTTTGAGTATTGTTGTTGCAAGTATAAAATGATGCAGTCACTTTGAAACTTGGATTTTGACAGTTCTTCTTGGACTGAAGCCTACACTGCCCTATGGCCAAGCAATTCCACCTCTACATTTTTACCCACGGTAGATGGAAAAATATGTACATACAAAGACTATACAAGGATGTTCACAGACATATGGCCCAGCAATTACGCTCCTAGAAATATACTCAGAAGAATTACAAATAGAGGTTCAAATACATGTTTGTACATTGGAGTTCACAACAGCATAATTTACAATAATCAAAAGTATGAGCCCAAGTTCCCATCAACAGGTGAATAGGTCAACAAAATGTGGTACACACACAATGCAAAGTTATCAGTGCACAGGAAGGAACAAAGTTCTGATACACGTGTAATATGGATGAACCTTGAAAGCATTATGCAAAATGAAATAAATAGTGTATGATACCACTTACAAGGAATATCCAGAACAGACAAACTGATAGGGACAGAAAGTAGATTA